TTATTTTCAATTATTTTTTTTCAATGCCTGATTTATTGCATTAAATAAAACAGGGTAGCTTTCAACTCTTATTTTTTATTTTGCTATTAATTGCATGATATGTAACCTCTATCCACAAGGCTGTCATGGGAGCAGTTTAATATTATTTATGAATAAAGTTGGTCACAGCATTTGTAGCATTAATTTTAAGGACAAATAGATCCATTATAATTTGTCTCTAAAGATTTAAAAATAAATTTGGGTTTGACTTTAAAATTTATCTTAATTGTCCTTGACTTCCTCTATTCCAGGGTTGTTTGTAGATTACCCTGGAAAGATGCCGGGGTAAGTCGGCTCTCCATAATTTGATGTTGTACTAATAGCAGCAACTTGCAAGTGTGGGTGTAATTGTTTGGTCTCTCTCATGGCAATAATCACTAGTAATGTGGGCCCTAAGTTGTTGTAGCGGTATTATACGATTTACTTCTCTATTTTTGAAGCAGTTTGATGTATGCGTTTTACAATGCAAAGCTTTTATGTAATCTATGACATTCGTATGCAGTTTTTATTGATTGAAAACAGCATATGCTAATTTTCTATATTTAACTAAAGAATAATGTTTAGCATTTATCATGTTTACTTTTTAAGTACAGTATTTGGCATGAATCAAGCTTCAAACATTTTGATAACTAGATTTTGAAAAGATGCAGAATGTTTATTTCAATAAATTTCTAATTTAGATTTAATTTGTTTTTCATTGTTACTACAGTATTTGTGTAAGTTTTGACAAGTTATGGCCCACATATAGTTTTAGTGCTTTTTATTTATTTTCATGTTTATATTAATGTTTATTTAAACTGTTTTAAGAACCCTAAACACTGAACTCGATATGCTGTTAATGTACTGTATAATAATTTACATCTTAAAGGAAAGTTGGCTATGAGACCTTTGACTTCTTTTGTCTTCCATTAAGTTACTAATTTAAAAATACACCTTTATATTCATTACAGGCTAAACAAATTAATAATAAAAGCATATCTAAAAAGCTAAAATAATGTCATTAATATATATATATATCCATATGCATTTGTAGCCATGACATAATTCCATACTGTAATCATATCAGCATACAACAAGCCTATATAGGTTTGAATTCTAATGCAATGATCTTACTCATACCCAGTACTGCATTGGCTTAGCCCAGGCTTCTAAATGACCATTATGGCTTACACTTCATCTGTTACTGCTCGAGGTCTAACTTCTGGAAATCTCCTCTTCTTAAGGAGGTGGCATCATATTCAGCCTTAGCCAGATACTGTATTTGTAAATTGCCTTTGTGTTAAATACATTTTAAGTAGCCCTTGAAGTCAATTTTTTTTTTCTGGCATTGTCAAAATAAGCATGTGTGCTTGGACACTGCTTGTTTACTGCATTCATTTTAAGGTGGCTTGGTGTAGTGTTGTATAATGTAAGGAATAGTTTGAATGTTCTCTGTTATGTAATGTACAGCCAATGTTGTATAATGCTTTTTTGTTCTGTAAAATTGGTACAAGATTTTAGGTATTTGTACAGTGGCACCTCGATTAACGAGCAGCTCTATCTACGAGCATTTCGAGTAACAAGCAAGCCACTCGCAGAACATTTGTCTCTACTAACGAGCTTTTCCTCGATTAACGAGCATTTCCGCTGGTTCTCTGACACCTTTTAAGATAGTTTTGTTTCGCAAGACGAGTTTTCCACATGACGAGCTCAGTGCCGGAATGGATTAAACTCGTTAATCGAGGTGCCACTGTAACATTAAAGGGGGGGGTGGAGTCAGTTGTATATTAATGTTCTGTTCATGTAATATGAATTGATTTGGTGTTCATATTTTTCTTGTATTTTGTGATACTATATCAGTGTACATAAAGTTGAAACTTCATACATGTCCCAATAAAGATATTCAAGTTTATTACTCAATAAAGTTTATTACATATCCAGATGCAGATTGCAAATCACTTTATTACATATCACAGGATATATAATTTTTAATGCTGCTAAAATGAATACTGTACATTTTTTCATATCCATGGTTTTCATCAGTCAGTATTGTAATGTATAAATTTATCACCACGTATATTTACTGTAGTTAGTGTATGTTAGCGTATATTCATACGCTGCTGAAGAAAGTTTTTTCTGAGAGACTCCTCAGTAGCTCCCCGAGTTTATAGACTGGTAATACCAAACTTTAGCTCTACACACCAGGAACTTGTGAACCATGAACAAATCCACAAGAGCCGTGACGAGGATTCGAACCTGCGTCCGGGAGCATCCCAGACACTGCCTTAATCGACTGAGCTACGACAGGGTTAAAAGGGTTGAAACCGAAGTTCTACTGAACTTACTGGATCCCGTAGCCTCTCCGAGGCACAAACCGGGCTTTCACACAACTTAAGTATCACGTTAGTGTGATCTCTGTGTGTGATGATGTAAGGGCGAAGAGGGAGAACGGCCTATTGACATAGCTCAGGTGCAGGGGGGGGGGGTTGTGTAAAAGCCCGGTTTGTGCCTCAGAGAGGCTACGGGATCCAGTAAGTTCAGTAGAACTTCGGTTTCAACCCTTTTAACCCTGTCGTAGCTCAGTCGATTAAGGCAGTGTCTGGGATGCTCCCGGACGCAGGTTCGAATCCTCGTCACGGCCCTTGTGGATTTGTTCATTTGATGCATCACGTTAGTGTGATCTCTGTGTGTTGTGAACCATCGGTCTCCTACCAGAAGCCAGGCAAGCAATCATTGCTGCTGGGTAAATAATTTAACTGAGGTGCCTGACTACCACCAAATGGCAGTGCACCCATAGTCTCTGCTGGCCCGCCGCTTAACTACAAAGCCACCAATGCCAAAACTCGTAGATGCAACAGATATTTTTTGATACACAAATTTGGATATCAAAAAATATAAATTTTGAGATTCTGGAAGGGTCACATTGAAATCCTTATCACCAGTTGATTACATCATTTGATATAAATTAAATCATACCACCAAATATATCTGGACTTCAGCAAAGCCCCTGATATTATATCTCTGGAAAGATAGATTAGGAAGGTACAGATGCATAATATTAGAGGGAATATCTTAAATTGGATTTGGGAATATTTTTTAATCCTCGAGATGTACATTAAAAACAATTAACAATATTCCTGATGCTTGAATAAAAGAATATATTCTTAGGTTGTAAACAAACACATGAGGAGCACAAATACATACTCGGGTTTAGCTGTAAGAGACTCTTAAGTTTGGCTTCTTTAATTGGCTGGTGGTGAGGTGGCTAGATACAGTGGTATGGCACCAAGTGATGGGGTGGGGTGTTGTGCGGTAATATCCTTCTCTCATTTTTTTATTTTCCATGCTCATTTGATATATCAGTGTCACTAGTTGAAATAGTTGTTCACATTTTATGAGGACATAATAAAAGAAATTGCTGAAAGCCTATTGGCCCATGTGAAACAGCTCCTATTTATACCCAACCAAACTTATTCATATATACATGTCTAAAATTTGTTTCAAACAATTCAGTGATACCACGTTTACTGTGTTACCCAGTAATTTGTCCCATATATCAACAACCAATATTTTCCCAGGTCTTTTCTAAATGGAAAACTTAATCAATTTGTATCAATTGTTTTGTGTATGTGCTCCAAGTTTGCTCCAATCAATGGAGCAATCTTATAACATACAAGCACTAGAGAGAGCACCAAGGGTACACATACCCAAAGTTTAAGAACCCCCCTGGTCTAAGGAAACCTTGATGCTGAAAAAGGCCTCATTTAACAGGCTTCTGACCCCTGACAATGGGAACCAAATGTTCAAAATAAGATTAATATCTAGTGGTTATAAAAAACTATAAATACCTACTAGCGTATATAAACATAGGTGTAATCAGACCCTCTTAAAAAAAAATAGTGTTATTATAGGATGACTAGTTATTTCTACCTATTAGGAACCTCCCTTATGAAGAGAGATCAAGAAGACTTAATTTACATTCTGTAGAAAATAAAAAAGTAATGCGGTATGTGATTGAAGTGTACAAATAGCTACAAGAGTATAACAGGAGGGAATATTAATTTTTAAAATTATATTTAAAAATTAGAACACACATCATTGGATACAATTTGGATAAGCTTCGATTCCGAAATGAACTAGTTGAAATAGTGATGGAGGCAAAGAGTGTACTAGGTTGGTAAAAGCGTATTTAACACAATTCTGGGTAACACTAGGGCCGCAAGATTGCTTCAAGCTTAGGTTAGACATATATATACAAGTATGCATGGTTGGACAGAAATAGAAGCTACCGTGAATGGTCCAGTTGGTCTTTTGTAGTGTCCTCTATTTTTATGTGCTAATATTGAACAGCAGTTAATGTTTGTAAAAGTAGGGCCCCACTGAATTTATTGAGTGTTCAATGCATGTGAATGATGCGGGACTGAAATGTAAAGATTAGTATATAGAAAAGACAAAATATTGGTAATTTTGTTGTATTGTTATGATTAATAATATTCACTTCCATCATTTGCCTATATAGTCGTAATGGCTTGGCGCTTTCCCCTGATAGTTCTATTCCCTTCCCCCACTTGTATGTTAAAAGCAATACTTTTGACATTTGCCTAATATAGTGTATTTGGAGATTACCTAAATTTAGCCCCTATTAGTTCAGTACATTATGTTTTTAAACAGCACATGTACATTGTTAAAATGTTGTTTTCATTGAGAACCATCAGTGATGTACACTGTGCCTGCTCTTTGTGTTATCATTCTGATAAGTAATATATTGTGAAAGATTAAGTTACCATTTAGCCAGATAAGTTTCCCAAATAATTTCATTATTGAGCATTTAATATTTACTTTGTGTATGTTTATTTTATTTAGTAAATTTTCTATTAACTATTAAAAGGTATCTTCTACAAAAGATCTTAAAAATTCCTATATCTGGAACATATTGGTAATAAAATGTCCCCCAATAGATAAGCAACGTCTCCTGATAACAGTACAGTACTCTAGTTAGGTGTTGTTACCTCAGTCGACCGTGCTACCCGAGTTTCATATTACATATTTTAATTTATATATGTATATTGTTACAAGTATATACAGCAACTTGTATCAAAACCCCAAATTTGCTTATTGATAATAATTTGGGGAAAATTAAACAGAGATTTACTTGCTTTACCCATTAGTGTTGTAAAGTCAGTTAAATTATTGTAATTATAACAAAATGAATCGGAAGAAAAACAAACTGGCTCTGGAATTGGAGGCGAGTCACTTGTATAATCGTCGCAGGAATTGTGCCATTCAACCTAATGAAAATGCAGATGGTGCTACTTGCTCTTCGCAGCATTTGTATTCGGGTACCAATACACAAAGTACAGCTCCATCAGACTACGAGCAGGTTAACCCTGTTCCGAAACCTCCAAGAAGACATGGTTTTGCAGCAGAAGATATTGACCTCGGTGAAAATTTTGCCAACAAACGTGTAACAAACATGCTCACTCCAGAACTGGAGAAAGAATTTCGAAACCAGTTCATAGAAAATCTAGACATAGCACAGGCACTCAGTGAGCGACCTCCGAGCTTCTCACCACCTGCAAGGTGATCCAGTAGCATTAACAGGTTTTTGAAGTTATGGAAGCTTGAATTTTTTCAAATGAATGCAAATTTGAGTTTAGTTATCAGTGAATACTTGAAGTATATATATCATGTGACTTAATTAATAGGGTGGTTGTTTTTGTTTGTAAAATGTAATGCAGTAGTTAAATCTGAAAACATTCCTTATATCATAAATCACCCAGGTAATTGTGTCGTGCCTCGATTGGCTGGTTTCGTATGAGTTCCCTTTTCCAGCAGTGTGTGAAGGTGTGCAGACACTGGGCACATGTGATTACTCCTTTGTAATTATATAGGATAGAACTTTGTGTCTGATCTTTCTTTACACATATAGGCCTATAACAGTTTTCTTCCAAGTTTTCTATGCCTTTTTGCACGCGCTAACTTATCCTACAGCGGCTTAAGTAGAAATACTCTCTCATATCTGCAATATTTTATTTCTAACTTAACATTCATTTGTTGTTGTACCAATAGCTGGATGAGTATACTGTATAAGCTTATAAATCATTTCATACTACCCCTTTTCCTATTTTCTTCCCGAGAAGTTGGTTCTAATTTGCTTTAACCTTTCAGTATAATTTATGTATTTAAATTCCAGTTGCCATTTAGTAGCATATCTCTACACACTTCCTAAATCAAGTTACATGCCCAGAAACTCTTTTTATAGCAATTGTACTAAAGGTAAATGGCTATTATTCAACTTAAGAATGAGTTAAACAAATTTACACAGGCCAAATGATTTATTCTGGATCTTACAAATTTCCTTCTGTAAATAGCATATTGGTATACATTTTCATCCTATTAGATTCGTATTTTTGTATTTTATGCATTTTTTTATTGTATATTGTATTTATATTGGTGTTGCATTTAGTGTGTTGTTTGTGTCTTGTGTGCTAATTCTTACAATTTAATGAAAAATGTAACATTACCATAACCAGTATTTTAAATTGTATGTATATTTTTATTATGGAATACATATTATAACTGCCATAAGCTACTGTATTAATATATTCCTAACTCTCCTAATGGATATCTGTTTTGATTTGATTATATCTATAAATGTGTGGGTTATTTTTCTTAGTTGAGAATCTTTTTGCAAATTTTATGTTTAATTTCTATATTTTTTTTACAGAGAAAACACTTTTTTACAGTAAAGGATATTTTTTAATGGGTTTTCAATCAAAGGAAAAGGATTGATAACTAAAACATAAATAATTTAATGTCAATTCATTATTTCTTTATTCTCCGAGTTGATGATAAATCTAATACTGTTAAACCATGAAGCATTTGAAGTTTTATATTGTGTGTTGAGTAAGCTTTTGTGTGACTTGCTTTGATAGTCATAGATGAAGAAAAGAATGTAATGTTCTCTTCCCTGCTGAATGTTATACTGAGATTTATGATTGACATGTACATTAAAATTTTTGTAAAAAACTGATACTAATAATCATTGTAACCCCTGTTTCCCACTTACATTGGGTGAGGAGTTATTTCCCAAAGAAATTAGTGGAGCCATTTATGAAACGAAGTCTAAAGGGCTTTAAAAATATAACCCATTCATTCCTCATATCACAGTACATAGCATAACAACACATCAGTAAATCATACAAAGCAGGACCTCACTGCCCCTATGAAATTAGGTGCACAGTATATCAGGAGTGTTCTGTACTGTACTAACAACCCTGTTAATCACTCAAAGTTCCATCATGAATGTTCTGATACAGCTCGTGCGCTATTCACACTCAGTACAGTATCTGCTTTTTTACACTCACAATGACTGCCCAAGGTTTTGGCCTTCGTCTTCCTCTCCTATACTCATTCTCCCTCCACCATTGTTATCATTTATTTCTTCAATTTGACTGAACCATCTTGGTTCACTTATGTCAGTGTGTTGTTCCTAATGCAAGACGTGCTTCTCAGATTGCATATTTCCACTGCTCTAATATTCATGGTTTTTCATATTCATGCATCCATAAATAAAGGGATATAGAAGGGTAAGCATTACTCCTCCTTCATACAACCCTTGAGTTTTATCTTATTTTTTCTAAATAAGGATTTAATTGCATTGCCCACTTTCCCTCCCAACTTGCACAAATTCCTTTTGTCAATCACACATCTCAATATATTTAGAATCATTAATATAAATACCTGTAGAGATGTGCTACTAGTTAATGTCTGAAGTTGCTCTGCTCTCCGAGCAAGTTGCTCTGTTATAAATTTCATTCCGCCTACATTCACGCTTGGGACCATTCTATCGCCAACATCAACAAAAACCTTTAAATAAACTACATGAACCTTATGATGTTCTTGCTGGACAATCTTCATATGTTTACATCAAATCCAACATGTAGCACTATTTAAAAATATTGGACATGATATAGTACTCCATATGACATACCATACTCCATTTATTCTATTCAGTACTGTAAAATGCACTCGGTTTTCACCTTTCTCTAATATTCTTAACCCGACCACAAGCTGTCTCAATACAAATACAGGGGTACCTAATCTGCACACCATTATTAATTCATTTTAGTGGTTGTTAATAAAATTTGACATTTCTGGATTGTATGTACAGTAGTAGTTTCATTTTTACTGCCATAGCCATTAAATGGGTTAATAGATCAGTTTTCAATTTTTGATCTTTATTACTGTTACTTTTATATTTTGTTTGAACTAATTTATGATAGATTATGGAATAATTGATCATGTTTGGATATTTTGCAGTCTTCACATCATGTCTCTGGGGTCCATGACCTGCACTCGGTGCGGGGACGGCTTTGAACCCCAGGAGAAGATCGTTAATTCAAATGGACAGCTGTGGCACACCCAGTGCTTTGTGTAAGCAACCTACTCACCTGTGTTTCTATAAAATTGATGAAGTAAATTTTTAAGAGAAAATTGCATGCTTTGTATTGTATACCATATTGACACAATATTGCAAAGTATCTCAAACAATCTAAAGTGTAGAATTCTAAGTAGCAGATCTTTCTCATGATACTGTGTCATCATACGTTTAGTTGTTATAATGCAGCACTATCAGTATACCTAGGTCATAAAAGTATTTGTGTGTACGTCTGATACCATACTACTTGTGTAAAGGAGGAAATGTAGATGTTTATCTCTCAGAATGTTTGGTAATATGTTTATTGTTTGTGATGTGTGTATATGTATGTATTAACACGATGTACTGAACGGGGCGAGAATAGCTTGAGCTACCTCATCCCTTTGTGTGTATTTTACATCAGTAAACTTATTTCAATTTCAATCAGCTTTGTATTTGGTTGGTAGCAAATGTAGTGGTGATAGGTAGATGTGTGTTTAGAGAAGTAACCTATAGCTTGGCTTCCTCGGACAAGTCCCCATCCGTGAGGGAACATTCACATGGAAATTTTTTTCTAGACATTTAAAATACATCTGCTCTTGGGCTAGACAGTAGAGCGACGGTCTCCCTTCAAGCAGGTCAGCGTTCAATCCGCGACTGTCTTAAGTCGTTTAGGCACCATTCATTTCCCGTGTTCCATCCCAAATCGTTATCCTGACCCCGTCCAAGTGCTATATAGCTGTAATGGCTTGGTGTTTTTTCCTGATAATTCCCCCTCCCTTCTTAAAAAGACTGAAAAGACTTTTGAAGTACTGTATTTATAAATGTAGTAACAGGTGAATTTTACTGAATACACCACAAGAACTCTTATTGTGGCCTGAAAATGGAATTGCATAATTAATGTCATTACAGTACTTGCATGACTGGCAGATGTGCACTTCTATACATTACTGGATATAGAATAGCCTAACTAAATTTTATGGAATTTGGACATATCTTGGGTACATACTGTTTTTTATATGGGTCTAGCAGCATAGTTTTCATATTTGTATAGGTTAATGAATAAAATCAAGAAAAGTTAATGATTTACAAAGTACAGTACTGTATTGTTGGAATTTAAAGAAATTGTTTATCATTTTAATACAGTATTTTCATTATACAGTGTAGAAGTAGTTGTTGGAGAGAAATAGAGAAAGCTCTCAAGATAGTCTGGTAACATTTCTCAGGCATCTTTACCTTCTGTGTCATTCTAGAGAAGTTACAGAATAAGCATTACCAGAATTTTGGATCACTCTGTGGTGTGGTGTGGTGTGGTATAGTATACTTGTCTCATAAGCATGTTCAAGAAAAGACAACTAAGCATCGAGCATTGCTCCTTAGCTCCATTTGATAATGCACTCTGTAGCAACTGGGACCTGGATTAATGGAGGGGGCCTCGTAGCCTGGTGGATAGCGCGCAGGACTCTTAATTCTGTGGCGCGGGTTCGATTCCCGCTCGAGGCAGAAACAAATGGGCAAAGTTTCTTTCACCCTGAATGCCCCTGTTACCTAGCAGTAAATAGGTACCTGGGAGTTAGTCAGCTGTCACGGGCTGCTTCCTGGGGGTGGAGGCCTGGTCGAGGACCGGGCCGCGGGGACACTGAAAAAGCCCCGAAATCATCAAGATAACCTCAAGATAACCCTATATGGATGTGAAATGATTGTAGAGTCATGTTCTGGAAAAAACACGGTACTGAATAACCTAATTGGCTTCAGTACCTAGCATGAGCCCTAAATCCTTGCCTCTTCCTCTTCCCAATAGGAATTCCATATCCAATACTATTTAAAAATCCTGAAACTTCTTGCTACTATATTTGTTTTTGTATATAGAGTTTTACCTTTTCATAATGTCAAATTATTTGATATTTCATTTTGTAATATGAAGGTAGGAAAGTACAGATTCATATGTGATGTCAAAACTAGTAAACTAAATTTACTGTTTCCTTGTAATATTTGTCTTAAACTGATAGTTGAGCATGGAAAAAGCATTTAGGAAATCACAGGCAGCTAATGTGTAAAAAAAAAGAGAAATGATAAGCTAAATGTTAAGAGCTGAATTGGTAACGTGTATAAATTCCAATATATATAAGAATAAGTTTAAGTACGTTATTTGATATAATGTACAGTACTTTAAAAGTAATGTATTAGTTTTGACACTTCAGAGAATGTAATTACTTTGTTTTCCCATTTCCTTTTGGATAGTCTATTTATACTGTATTTCCTAAACTTGCTATTATTGTTGTGGTTGGTTGTCGGCCACTCCAGACCGACAACCAGAGCGCAACTCCATGGTCTCCCGAGACTGATGGATGCCTACTACTACTACTACCACTATTATTTGTACACCTGGCATGGCATCCTCAGCACTGGATGTACAGTATTATATGTATTACGGTATGTTACAGGTGTGCACAGTGTTTTCGTCCATTCCCTGATGATGTGTTCTACGAGTTTGAAGGCCGTAAATATTGTGAACATGACTTTCAAGTTCTCTTTGCACCATGTTGTGGCAAGTGCAGTAAGTAATTTATTTTTATGCACTAAATTTTAGGATACAGGGAAAAGTTGCCAGTATTCAGTGTCGTAATGTAAATTATTGGCATTTGAATTTGATTTAAAAAAAAAAAGGATGGTATAACTGGTAATAACGATAATAATGATAGTATAACTGGTAATAACGATAGTATAACTGGTAATAACGATAGTAAAACTGGTAATAACAATGGTAACTATAGTATAACTGGTAATAACAATGGTAACGTTAGTATAACTGGTAATAACAATGGTAACTACAGGCATACCTCAGAATGCGAGTTTAATCCGTTCCTGGAGACGCCTCGCCTTCCGAAAACTCGCATTCCTAAGTTAATTTCCCCATAAGAAATAAAGGGAAATGAATTAATCCGTTCCTGACTACCCCAAAAACCCCACATCAAACTAAATTTTTATACCTAATTTATATTAGGTATACCTAATATATACTTATTTTATACCTAATTTTATACCTAAGAGTGCTGTAGGCGTATGGAAGATGGTGAGGAGGGGGGAGGAGGAGAGGAGTTACTGTTTGGAAGGGGAGTCCCCTTCCATAATCACATCAGGCAGTGAGGATCTTTCTGGTGTGCTCTCCCTGGGACGTTTAACCTGAGTGCCACTAGGTCCTGGTTGAGGCTCACTGCTCTATTTCCTCACCACAAATTTGTCCATGGAAGCTTGCTTTTCCCTTCTTCGCAAGCTCTCTCTGTAGTAAGGCATCACATTGTCATTGAAAAGATTAAGACAACGGCCTACTACAGCTTTGTCTGGGTGAGTATGTTCAATAGTTGTTTGAATCTCTTCCCACATCTGACACACCTTCTTAATTACTGCAGAAGGGACACTCGCTGGTGCTGTTGGTGCTGCTGCCACCTCCTCCTCCACTGCAGAATCATTCGCTGCTGTGTTGGCTTGCTGTTCCTGTTGAAGGGCTAGGAGTTCTTCGGTGGTCAGTTCTTCGTTGTGTTCTTCCACCAACTCCTCCACATCATCACCATCCAATTCCAAGCCCATTTGCTGTCCTAGACTAACAATTTCCTCAACAATAGGCGCATCATTTATAGGCTCAAACCCCTCAAAGTCTAGTTCTCTCACACCTTCAGGCCACAATTTTCTCCAGCCAGAGATCAGGGTTCTTTGAGTCACTTCTTGCCAGGCTTTGTCAACGAGTTTTAAAGCACTACAAATGTTAAAATGCTCTCTCCAGAACTCTTTGAGGGTGAGGTTTGTGGCTTCAGTCACTTCAAAACATTTCCGGAAAAGTGCCCTTTCATACAGTTTCTTAAAATTCGCTATGATTTTCTGGTCCATAGGCTGAATTAGAGGAGTGGTGTTAGGAGGAAGGAATTTAACTGTGAGGAATTTATTGTATTGAGGCATCAAATCATCTTCCAAGCCTGGAGGATGAGCAGGAGCATTGTCAAGGAGAAGCACGGCTTTGAGTGGCAATTGTTTCTCCTGCAGATATTTTTCTATGGCAGGGCACAGCACTTCATTCACCCACTCCGAAAAAATAAGCCTAGTGACCCATGCTTTTTTATTAGACTTCCACATCACACACAAACGGGTTTTCTGCACATTATACTGTTTGAAAACCCTTGGATTTTCAGAATGATACACTAGCAAGGGTTTAATTTTCAAATCGCCACTCGCATTTGAACACAGCACAAGCGTAAACCTATCTTTCATAGGCTTGTGTCCAGGCAAGGATTTTTCCTCCTTGGTAATGTATGTCCTCTTAGGCATTCTTTTCCAAAACAGTCCTGTTTCGTCACAATTAAACACTTGTTGCGGTAGGTATCCCTCATCCTCTGCAAACTCTAAATTCGTCAATAAATCGTTCAGCGGCTGGTTTGTCTGAGCTGGCTGCCTCCCCATGCCTTGTAACACTATGGATACCACTTCTAAATTTTTCAAACCAGCCCCTGCTTGCCTTAAACTCTTTCTTATCTGCATCACTCGTTGCAGGGGTCTTCTTTAGAAGGTCTTCGTGCAACACCCTGGCTTTCTCACAAATCATGGCCTCCGAAACACTATCACCCCTCAACTCCTTGTCGTGTATCCAAATTAATAACAACTTTTCCACTTCTTCAAGTATTTGTGGTCTTTGTGCCATTAATGTTCTTACTCCTTTTGCCACATTAGCACTCATAATCTTATTTTTCTTCTTAAGTATAGTGCATATTGTTGATGTGGCTTTCTTGTACTGCCTACAAAGTTCAACAACACGTGTACCGTTCTCATGCTTCCGAATGATCTCTTGTTTCTCCTCTATTGTCATCCTCACATGAGCTTTCTGGCCTTTATCCTTACCACTGGCTTTCTTGGGACTCATGGTGAGATATATAATAACAAATTGTATAGACAAATCACCAAAAATCCAACAAAACACTGAAAATCCGCGACAAGAATTGATGTGGAGGTAGTCACTGAGCGCGAGACAATGGTAAACAGAGGGGCGACGATCGCCGAACCACCACGCGCTAGGTCGGCTGTACGCGTATCAACAAACTCGCGTCCAAACTCGCCTCCCGAAGTAACCATCGCCTTCCGAGACAAATTTTTGGAGTAAATACACCTCGCCTTCCGAAAACCTCGCATACAGGGACAATCGCATTCCGAGGTACCACTGTATAGTATAACTGGTACTGTAATAACGAAATGTGGGTAGTATAGTCCAGTCACAACTGAATGGTCTTTGGTTCAGTTCTTGGGGCCAGGACAGAGACGTTTGGATACATTTCCTTTCATCAGATGCTTCCGTTCGTATAATAGGGTATAGATACCCAAGAGTTTGGCAACTGTTGTGGGTTTTATTCTTTAGAAAGGAACAGTAGTCACCAACCTTTTAAAGCTCGCTGATCACCAAATTCATATTTTGAAATCCTGCACTCCACCAAACAAGAAATGATAAGTATTAAAGTCAAACTATGTGAAGCCATTAAATATAACAGTTAAAGAAAATTCACAAATCAATTTGTCTCACGGACCACCGGTTGATGACAGCTGCTTTGGAAGGTCTGTATAGTACCCTTGGGGGATATCGGTAAGCCTAACAGGCTTTCTGTCCCCCAATAATGTGAAATCAACTGTTTATAAAATTAAACAAGTCATGTAGATACAGTATTTACTGAGATAATGCAATGATTTTAATTGTGCCTGATGATCAACTGTATCATTTTCCACTACTTAATATTTCTATAGTGGTACCTTCATTTTCAAATTTAATCCGTTCCCAGAGACGGTTCGAAAACCAAAAATTCAAAAACCAAAACTAATTTTCCCATAAGAAATAATGTAAATTGAATTAATCCGTTCCACACCCCCAAAAATATGAAATTAAAATTACATTTTATACATACTACTACTCATATTTTGTACTATAGTACAATAAGACGTATATCTTACCTCTGTTGAGGACTCTTGTTGGCATATGGAAGACGGTGAGGAAGGAAGCAGGAAGAGAGATGTTAGTGTTTGGAAGGGGAGTCTCCCTTCCATTATAACAGTGATGACATTTCTGGGGTACTCTTCCTCACGTTTTGCAGGCATACCACTAGGACCTGGTTGTGGCTCACTGCTTGCTTGTCTTACTAAGAATCTGTCTATAGACACTTGTTTTTTTCCTACAATTTAACACTTGTCTGTAGCAAGACATCACATTGTCTCACTATGAATGACCTTGTTTTTCCTCTATCGTCATCCTCAACTATTTTCCTAGGTTGAACTTTACCACTGACTTTCTTGGAACCCATGGCATGATACATAATAATTTTTATGTTCAGAAACCAAAAAAGCACAAATACTATGAAATTCTTCACAAAGAGTTCAAGCACGGGCGTTACTAGCCAGGAGACACTGGTAAACTAAAGCGCACTACCTGCTCGGTCGGCCAATATATATATCAACAAACTCGAGCACCAAGGGAAACCTTGAATACCAAGTAGAATGTTTCAAAGAAATTGAGCTCGAGAACCGAAAAATTCAATAAGAGGGTTATTCGAAAACCAAGTTACCACTGTATATGGATCGTTCCATGAAGATGTCTTTGGAGTACTGGAAACTATAATTTTTTTAAATTTCTAATTGTTATTACAGTATGTAAATATGTATTGTATATATAGGCTAATTCTTATTATTTTTCAGATGAATTCATCATTGGCAGGGTGATCAAGGCCATGAATGCTAATTGGCATCCAAGATGCTTTACTTGTGAACTCTGCAGTAAGGAATTAGCCGATCTGGGATTCATCCGAAATGCTGGACGAGCACTTTGCCACGAGTGTAATGCTAGAGTAAAAGCACACTCTCAGGGAAAATATATGTGTCATAAGTGCCAGTATGTATTACATGTTACAGTATTTTTAATATTTAATGTTTGCAAAAGAAAAGGGACATAGAATCTATATTTTTTGTGGATTTACATTACTAAAATCAGTATAGTGAAATGTGTTATCTGGTGTTCTAGTATTTCTTTCAACCATTAGACATCATGAATACAGTAAGACAGAATGGTTATCTTAGTTTTACTCATGAAAGAAACTAAGGTTTCTTATCTTTCAACAGTTCAACAATCGAAGGACAGCCATTACGATGGCGGGGAGACACCTTCCATCCATACCACTTCAACTGTGCTTCGTGTGGCAATGAGCTGACAGCTGATGCCAGGGAGGTTAAAAGTCGACCGGGATACACAGCTAATGAAATGGTAAGGCTTCAGTAAAAATAGCAATTCTTGTCAATTTCAATCATGCATTGTAGTGTGAAACTACAAATCTTGACCTCCAAGTTTGACTCAAGCAGCAGTACTCTTGAACTTCAGATAGCAAGAAATCAGATGTACCTTCAAAAATTATAATGCTTTAGGTTCAAAGTATATTTTGCTTCAACTGTTACCTTGATAGATCTACAGTCTAATTAATCCTTATATCAATTAGTCTTTTTTTTCTTCTTCTAATGTCAGTTCTGATTTTCTGAAGCTTTCTCCTCTTAAAATTCTAGATTCATTTTCCACATGCAGTTAGAAAAAAAAAAGTATGATTACTTGTTAGAAGTCTTGTAACGATTAATAATTTTTCTTTCTTCAGAACGAGCTGTATTGTTTGCGCTGCCATGACAAAATGGGTATTCCCATCTGTGGTGCATGTCGTCGTCCTATTGAAGAACGTGTGGTGACAGCGCTCGGCAAACATTGGCACGTGGAACACTTTGTGTGCGCCAAGTGTGAAAAGCCATTCATGGGAAATCGTCACTATGAACGAAAGGGCATGGCATACTGCGAGACTCATTATCATGAGCTATTTGGAAATTTATGCTTCATATGCAATGCAGTTATTTATGGAGATGGTAAATATAAATATTTTACTTTTGAATGTCTGATAATTTATAATTCATTGTGTCGAGACACACAGCCAGTTTATATACATACATGTTAGGCTTATACCGAGGTCCTCTTCCCCTTAGGGTCGAATTATTGACCCCATGATGCAATCCCACAACAAGTTGACTAACTCCTGGGTACCTATTTACTGCTAGGTGAACAGAGGCATTAGGTGATAGAAAATGCACCCCACCCATTTCTTTCCCGCCCCAGATTCAACCCGGAATTCTCAAATGCGAGTCGAGAACAAACCCGACTGTACTACCGAGATCCTCATTGATAAGACGGCTAAGTATTGTAAATTTATTCTCTTCAGTACAAAAACTAGTGAAGCATTACATTATTATATTTTAGCTTTTATTCTTTTGCATAAACAGTTAAATTTGTCAAAGATATTGATTGTACAGTATATGAAGTGCTATATAGACAGACAGCCAGCTACTAAGGTAAAAATCTAATATAATAGTTGGGTCAAAAACTTCAGTTCTGTGGCCATTCTCACATAAGTAACCCTCTCAGATTTAAAATAAGGCAAAGCAACCTCCTTGTCCTCTCCTAGGGCAAGTAGGTTCTTGCCTTACAGCTCAGCCACATCAGATTGTTCAGAATTGAATTGCTTTCCAGATACTGCCAAAAATTCATTTTTTATATCTATTAATTAAACACCTTACTTAAATATTACTATAAAATATTCCAACCACTATTCAGCTGCAAATACTCTGTTAATTGCCAAGTCATAATGCAACAACTTGTACTTTCATTAAATAATGAAATTGTTTCTTCTTCTAGTGGTGATGGCTCTGAACAAAGCCTGGTGCATTCATCACTTCGCTTGTGCAGTATGTGACATTAAAATGACACAGAAAACCAAGTTCTTCGAGTTTGATCAAAAACCAGTAAGTATTGGGTTGCACTAACTTTGCTTTTCTCTATCATTATTGAGTACAGTACATAAATTTACTTTCTGCATGTATATACAGAAGCAGATTTTTTACAGCAATCCATAGGAGAAGTTACCAAGCTATGTAGCAGTGCTAAGTTATTTCCTAAACAAATGACAGATTGGACAAATGCTTATATTATGTTCAGTACATGTAAATGTTGGACAGCCACCCATATCTGTGACATGATCATATAAATATGCCTTTTTGACTGCCAGTTAACATACATTTTTCATTTACTAAAGTTAAAAGTTTTAAAACTGACATCATTAATGGGCTACATCTTGAGAGTTAGGCTAAGTAAAGTGAAATTAGGTTTACTTTGATGACAGAGTTGCCAATGTTATTTACCATATAAATTGTAATTGGTTATTTATAATAAGGGTGTCAAACATTGGTGAATTCCAAATTACAAAAAAAAATAATTCCTGTTATTTATTTTAGCATATATTGTATTACCTAATTTGGGAGACGAAGCTCTTGCCTCCAGTGGCTATTCACATTGTACAAATTCACAAGGAAGCTATTGTATTAAAAAGAAATTACTTATATTTTGAAATATACTGGGATAAGAGATTGGGATTCCTTCCTTAATCACCAGTATTCAGCCCATATCCAGGTGTTATTTTTTTTTTAAATTGTACTGTTTAACATGTGAATTGGCATCATTTGCCAATTCACATGTATGTACATGTATGTGCATAATATCCTTCATACACATTATTACTAAATTGCTTATACCAAAACAAACCATACATTTAATTTTGACGAAAATTTTATATTCCATTCCTCTCCATAGATATGCAAGAAGTGCTATGAAAAGTTCCCGCAAGAGTTAAAGAAACGCCTGAAGAAACAACATGAAATCCAGGCACGTGGTGGCAAACCACTACCATAAGCATCCAGCTGGGGCAGGTATCAAACATCAAAATCTAAAAAAAAAAAAAAAAAATCTGATAATTCTAATCTGAATTTTGTATCGTAATTCAAAATAACTAAATTCTCAAAATTTTAACAATGATTTTTAAATTAATATAGTTATTTGCATAAATCCTACTAATTTAATTGATAACTGGGTCATTTGAGATTAATGTCTAACAAATGAGGCCACTGAAGCATTCATTGAAATGGCAGTCAATCCAAAATGTTGATTGGGTCCTAAGGATTAGAGATTGTCAAGTGGTATTTGTATTTAATGTTTTTATACAACATAAGCAAGTTCCTCTTAATTTTGTATTGGTACAAAACTAAAATGGTTTTCATTCTGTTTATGAATATTTTTCTCTGTGGTTGTATAATAATTAATGTTCAATGAATTACTGTATGTGACAATTAGTTTATAGTTGCGAGAACGAATCTCCAGCGAAGCATTGGGTCAAATGTTAGAACCAGTAAGCTTTGATAGATTGTTTTGTATCCTATGTATTGTGTCTTAAGGTAAAGTGGAGATACATTTTTTTTTTTTTTTTTTTTGTCAACACCTTAATGAGGCTTCTTCACCTATCACAATCTTTGCATAATATTAAAGACGTGTACAATAAGGCACCTCTTCTCATCCACGGGCTTTATCAACTGCCACTCATTGTAACAATGGCAGCTGATTTAGCCTTTTTCTATACTGTTTTAATTCAGCTAGCATCCTGGTGCCCTTAAGTACACTATGGAATCTGTTTCTTTTATATTAGATACGACTTCTCTTCTCTCTCTCGTTATTTTTCATCATTTCTATCAAGATTTATCTATGTACAATGTCTTAAGAATATGCTTCCAGTCTACTACAAACTTACAAATAGATTTTTATAATCCAGTGTGTTCTATTTTTTTAATGTACTTTGGAATCCAAGTATTTTTTCTTCTTTTTTTGCAGGGGGTTCTTTGTTTCCTAATAAGATCTCTAGTGCAAATTCATTGGAAATACTGTATAGTCTCACTAATCCAAATTTTGATGATTTGCACAAAATCAGAGGTGGATTATGATCAACACATGATCTGCACACATTTTCTAGTTACCTATAGAACATATGAACCACATAGCACATCACCGACGATACTTTATTGATGGTTCAGCACAAATATTAAAACAATGCCAATTAGTTTTTGTGAATAATAATTAGAAAGAGCATTTGTTGTTCAAAATGCATTATTGTCCTGCCAGGCAAAATGAAAGTGGCCGGTTTTTCTGTGTAGAGGCTGTGTGCCTTAAAGTATGCAGTCTTTGGCTTGGTGGTGGTGTTCACAAGGTGTCCTAGCTCAAACACTGATAATTTTTTATAAAATTGGAAACATTCCTTCAATGTCACAACCCAGTGCTTCTGTATTATTCAAAACACTCCTATATTTTGTCTGCTGCTAATAATAATGCACACACATTTGTGTATGTGTGAAAGTAGTATGGGAGAAGGAGGCAGTCCAACATTTTTGCTCTCTAATAATTGAAGTTTTTCCATGATATATATTTGTGTTCAGATCATCAACCATCCAAACTATTTCATTATAAAGACGATAGAAGAAATAAGTGTCACTTTATTGTTAATTGTCTAGTAAAATAGTATTATATTTGTGTAGTGTAAATAATTAGTCATATAGTTCCTTGCAAAATATTGTACTACTGTTCTGTGTAAGATTTGTCAGTCGTATCTAAAAGGAAGGCAAGTGACAGCTATACGAAACATGTTATTTCTGTAATTATACTGTAAATAACGTTTAGTTTGTCATTTGCTATAAGAATATGCGCTTTACATGTGCCAATATTTGTGGTAATATTTAAAAGACAGCAGCTGCCTGAAAACTATTGTGTAGTCCATCCCACTCAGTAGGTCACAACGAGCCCCATTTAATTAGTGTTGAATAGCAAAAAAAAAAAAAAAAAAACCCCTCTAGAGGTTCTGTTTTGCCTATACAGTACTTTAAATTATATTAATGTCGTGGAGCTGGGATTTGTATATTGAAAGATAGTTGTTGTTTTTTTTGGATGGGGGTAATATTGCTTTGAAGTAGTCCATATACAGTATGACCATTTTGTACTTAATGTACAAAGTAATAGACTGGTATATGAATGTTACTTAACCTTTTGTTCAGTTAAAAATATATCTGGAAATTCACACACAGAAAATACCCTTACTTAACCAATTTAAGGTCTTCTATATTTACTCTACTGTATTAGGAAAAGGATAGCCTATATGTGTATTTTATTGGGATAAGCGAGATTGTGCTCCTGGCCTCTTTTTTTTTCCTTTTTCCCGTTGACATTTCCACATTATACATTGATTTTTCAATAGAACAGTAAATGGACCATTAAATACTAGTCCTGTAAAAGTCTGCATTAGTTTGGTGTCCATTACCGAGGACAAGAATCCTCTTGGCTTATTAAGGCACCTCTAGCCATCTAGTGACCCCTCCCCAAAATGTGTCCCACAATAGTTAACTAACTCGGGCACCTACCCGCCAAACACACGACGAAACGACATTCGAACAAGGTTTAACACTAACAATTGTAACAACCGATATAGCAAGTTGTAACAATGTTTTTATACTTAATAAAAACGTTATTATAAGATGTTACAACTTAATTACAAGTTATAACAAGGGAATTGGGGACCACTATATTGTGTTTGAAGGATATTCACTGATCTTAAATACTAAAATGCTCATTTGTAATCCTCTTAGCCATATTTGGTATCATTGTAGCTCTCTTTATTCTTAGCACTTTCGCGCCTCGGGCATGAGCACCGCCAACTTAGAGGTCACGCCCTCTGCGTACGGGCGAACACGCGGAGACACCGAAATGTGTATACTCGTTTGTTTTCTCACCTTAATTCTCATGCTATGTCGTTCGTTTTGGTATTGTGTTCGCAATTAAATTCCCTGCAGGTGTATGTGCATATAATGTCCAAAAGCACGGCATGACTCCCCACAGCACAGCCTAAAATTACCCGTGAACGAGTACCAATTTGCACACCGCAACCTAATGTGTATACTCATTCGGTTTGATAAATTTTTGTGTTATGTCTTTCATTTTAGTATCAAATTGTTCGCAATATAAAGGTGCGTATTTTAAAACTATTCCCATAAGAATAGAGCAATAACTGGAATTTTAACAAATATTTTAATTTTGGAAGCTCATCATCACGAAATTATTTATATCTTTCCAGTGTTTTGACAAATTTGTGTTGTATCTTTCATTTTGGTATCAAATTGTTCACAATCTAAAGGCGTGCATTTTAAAACTAGTTCCATAATAATAGCACAATCAATATAATTTTAACAAATATTTTAAAATTTTTACCAAAAACGTATTTAAAATCTTTCAAGTGTTCTGACATCAAGTTTCTTGTTACATCTTTCATTTGGTATCAAATTGTGCACACTCTAAAGGCGCTCATTTTGAAACTATCCTGAAGTCGATCGGATAATAAATGAATTTTATACAAATATTTTATCTGACGCACATCATGTCCGATGCTCGGACTCGAGAGAAAAAAACGAACGCAAGTTGCGTTCAAAGAGTGCTATAGTGTTAAATAAGTTGTGTCCATTTTCACCCGTTTGCAGTTAGATACGTATCTAATCTTGAACATTTTTATTTTATCTTCAGAATATTTCTAAAGTACTTGAAACATGAAATGTAGAATGCTAGGAACCAACGAATATTGTGATGTGCAGATATTCTCGACTTGAGATTTAGAACTGCCTTCCTCCCCCTCCTCCCACCACCACCCATACCACTTTAAAAAATCAGTGGATCTTGTAAGATGTGTTAACTTTATTTAGAGGTCATGTAGAAAGATCTACAAATTTGTACCAAGTTTACTAAGGGCAAATTTTCTATTCACTATATAGTATCCATACTGGCTTAGCAATTTCTTTCGACAATTTCTTCCCTATTTTCTATTTTGTACTTGGAGGCGGAGTCTCATTGAAACTTTGTTCGGACAATAGTTTAAGCAATTATTATTTATTCCTCTTGTCTTCTTAGACTGGTATATCCTATCAAGATATATTCTGTAGTTTAACAGTAATTAAAGACTAATGTACAGAGTTTTACATGTAATACATCATTACTCGCCTTGGGGCCTCGTAGCCTGGTGGATAGCGTGCAGGACTCGTAATTCTGTGGCGCGGGTTCGATTCCCGCACGAGGCAGAAACAAATGGGCAAAGTTTCTTTCACCCTGAATGCCCCTGTTACCTAGCAGTAAAATAGGTACCTGGGTGTTAGTCAGCTGTCACAGGCTGCTTCCTGGGGGTGGAGGCCTGGTCGAGGACCGGGCCGCAGGGATACTAAAAGCCCCGAAATCATCTCAAGATAACCTCAAGATTACTGTCAACATCTCTCACTGTCACCAAGCTTTTTTATTTTAAGGGGATGGGGAGGGAGTTATATGTTAAACAAAAAAAATACCCTTCTAAAAGTCAAGGCAAATAGCAAAAATGTGCTGGGCTGTGAAAATTTTCCAAGAGGCATGATATTAGGCCTTAAACCTCGGTACTTCAAATTTTTCACTGATAAGAATGCACCCTGTTTTATCTTTGCTGTTGAGATAATAGCAGGATCTCCTTAAAACACCTTGTTTCTAATGTTTGAGGAAATAAATTTTTTACCTTGAATATATGTGCACGGAATACAATACTGTACTGAGAACAAATGTATATATTAGCTGCATTCTATATTTTATTTGTCTTTAACAGTTAATCCTCGCATGTGATGCAAGTGGGAAAGAAAATTGTTGGTTGTAGTCATTAAGATGTGATTCTGCATACATTCATTTGCTTGTTCATGTTGCCTGTGTTAGGTACACAAGTATTGATAACTTTGGTTTTAACTAGTGGTAGTAGAAAGCTACACATTCTCTTGCTAAGATACTATTGGACATCAAACAACAATGGTGTCTTTATGTGCAATATATGGACTCTTAAACTGACAATGCACAAATGTTATATTGACAACAAAATAGAGACAACTACCACATATATTTAAGAACTTGGGGACGGATTTTTTTTTATTGTTGTCAATGTTTATTTTAGTTTGTCAGAACAACAGCCTGTGGACTGTAAGCCTATGATCTATACTTCATACATAGACACTATGGTATTGTTAAATGCACAGTAATGTACTATCAGTGTCGGTGGATTGGTTACAGAAGACATTAGATATGCATGGCCCAGGTGTCGAGGGGCAAAGCCTATGCAAATTGATTGTGAAGAAATTAGAGTCTGGGATAATCCTTATTTTCATTATAGCTTGCACTGCTACTAGAAATAAGAAATAAGATTTTTTGGTTAACTTTGAAAATTTGAATAGTTGTATTATATGCCCTTGTTAATGTTGCTTTAATTTCCGACAAGTCATTATGTAATGAAGCATACAACGTTAGTTATTCAACGATTTTACTTTCTATGTCTTTATTTCAGTTTGTGGTTCAATGAGAATGCATTTTATTTTATTTGTAAATATACCCGTACTTCCATAAATCATTTTTATTTCCCATCGTATCAAAACTCTCTGTACATTACCTAATACAGTAATACAAAAATCCTAAAACAAAAAAATTACTTGCATGATGTTTATATCAAGAATTTGTATGACTAATCTACAGTTGCTGATATTGTAATGTGAAGAGTATTGTGCTACATGAATTTCTGTAAGCTTCAAGTCTTCACTGCTGTCTATAAAATAACAACACAGAAGCGGTGTGTACTGTGTTACATGTTTATCGGTGTATGGAGGTGCCAAAAGTACTATAGTAAAATTGTATAAATATTAACTTTGGGTTAATATATAAATTAAAGAACGACTATAAATGTATTATGTAGAGTTAAGTAAAATACTAAATTAATTCTTGCCACTAAAACATATATATATACAGTATATAATATGATTTTACATTTAAATTTAAATTAGGTTATATGTATATGGATCATCCTTCTCCATTTTTACTTGTTACTAATACATGTTGTAGCTGCATGAACGCAGATGCGTATAATTGGCAGGGATGACCAGTATCTACCTGTTCATTAGCTTTATTGTTCCATTTTATTGTATATTGTTAAGTGTTTTGTGTGTAAAATTTGCATATTATTAGCTGTCTTCCTTTAGACAGATGTCAATTGTTCCATATTAATTATGCTACTATAGCACAATAGTAATTTTGCATTTACATGTGGACGACTGGAATTGAAAATTTTAATTACAAAAATAACCAAGACAAAATTCTGTTCAATATCCATATTTCAAATTTAGGATATTTCAAGTAAAAAAAAAAAAAAAATTGTCTTATTGATATACTGCATATGATTGCAGCTTGGTTGAAAGCTGCACATTGCATCAGTCCGCCACTTGACCTCTGTAGGACTTGCACTGTTACTGTGCACAGTCAGTAAAATGTTGCTGCTGAATACTTGGGTGCTAATCCTGTGCTAAATAGATTCTAATACTACAGTAAGACTTCATTGGTTTGTAAGATGATTTCCAGTTAAATGTGACTTATGTATTATCCATTTTGTAGGATCACTGCATTTACTGGTATTCAGTTTTAGAAGGTTTTGTGTGAATGTTCTGTATGATTTATTGAAATTTTGAGTGGCAAAAGGCCATGTAATGTGACCTTTATGGAGTCTAAGTAGTATTTTTTAACTAACACGGTAGGAATCTATAAACTTGATACACAGATATAGTACTTGTAGAAATGATTATATTACTACTGTACAAGTTTAGTCTTAAACAGAAATAGTGTTAGTTAGCCAGGTCTCACAAATGGGGATTTAATGTGAAAAGTCTTACAATTGAATGATGTAAATAAAGTTTTTAGATAACATATCTAGTGTAATGTTTATAAATCACTTTCTTTTACTGTAACATTATATCCCTCTATTTGTACTGTATTGGATTGAATGATTCAAACCTAATACTTTTAAATATTAAACACTTCTATGTGCTTATTTAGTGCCTTTCCGATGCCTTAAAAGTATTTAATGTAATACAATAATCATGAGCTAGAAGAGTTGACAAAAGATAAATATTTTCCAGTTCTTCCACAAATTTAATATCGGCATTAAGCTTAATGCCCAAGTCCTGAAACACTTGTCCATTTTCTATACCATCGAATATCAGCAAAGCTGTTGATGTTACAATTTCAAGAATATCTGCAAATGGTCCTAATTGTAATTATGCAGAGATGTACAGTACAGTATTTAGGTATCAGTATATATGTGTGTGTGTGTTATGTTCATTGTAAATTTGTAATTTTATTTGCACATGTACAAGTAAATTTTGGTTATGATTTTGTGATTGCACTGCACTGCTTATTTACAACAACACCTGGGAATGCATGGACAACTGAAATTTTTCCCATGCAATAATTATGCAATTTAAAATATATTTTGTTCATGTATATATTTAACACCTTTATAAATGTAAATCATCAATTTGTATCATTTATAGCACCACTATATTGAATAATTCATTTTTGATGGGCACAATGGGTGCTTTTTCTGTAAACCTCATGTTAAACTTTTTTAGGTAGATGGTAAAAAAAAAAAAAAAAAAAAAAGTGTTGCTTCAAAAGGTACTAATTTTTGCTCACACCTGAATAAAACATGAATCTCCACATTGCAGAATAGTTTGAGATACCACGATGCAAAATGATAATGATTACTCTACCTTGTACTAACTTGTGTATGTGTGAATTCACCTCTTTCACTTTTAAAAAGGTGATGTTTAAATATTACAAGCAAAAATAGGTTGTAGCAAATTCACAGTAATTCAAGATTTACTATACTGTATCTGAATTCTGTTGGAATGGCATAATAGTCCAAAGCACTTGTTACTAATTCCTCTGTTGTAGCTTTTGGCCTTACAAAATATTTATAATTATTTTGTGCCATATACAGTATCTATTCATCCAGTATATGTGTTATATATATTATTATTATTATTATTATAATATATATATTGTATATATATATATAATAATATATATAATATAT